GTTGAATATCACAGCTTATTAACATCACATGCCTCCAGTACACAAGCGATATTCGCTGTCAGGTTACGGAGCCACTATTATAATGATGACAATACTTATATTATAATGCTGCCTCGTATTATATATATATATATATAAATATAACATTCTTATATGTTACATTAAAAAGTTTGGGATCAGTAAGATTTTTAATGTTTTTTAAACAAGTCTCTTTAATTTATTTAATTTCGTTTTAAATTTAAAGATTTAGAAATCTTTTCTAATAATATTATTTATCTATAACTTTATTTATCACTTTTTATCAATTCAACACATCCTTGCTGAATAAAAGCATTTATTTCTTTCAAAAAAAAAGAAAGAAAAAAAAAAACTGACCTCAAACTTTTTAACTTTTTTAACTTTTGAACGGCAGTGTATAGGCCTATATCTACAGAAATATGAAACAAAAAGCAAATTAATAATTGATTAACTAATTCTATCCATGCAACAGTTTTGTGTTCTCCTCTACTGTGATATTTACGGTTGTGTATGGACGCAATGCAACACTAGCATACTACATAGCGGACAGTGTATTTACTTGAAGTAAAATATTACGTGGACCTGTGCATGATAATGATAAACGTTGCTAAAATGAGGGCTATTAACATATTACTTACTGCGCACTAAAAAAAATCCCATACGCTCACAGCGTAGATACTGCAGAAGTAGTACGAGTATTACGGTATTGCGACACAGCCGGTGTCTTTCGGTGTTCTCATGTGATGAAAACACGGAAAACGGAAGAGACTTTCGTGCTCTCCGGGTGAGAAAATAATCACCCAATATTAGCAAAAAATGCATGATATAATTCATACACAGCGTTCGTGTCATCTAATTATTATTCGTAATCTATTATTGCTGCATTTACGTGATTAATCTAATGTAAGACGTACCAATGCAATGTTTTGATTGAAGTGTTTCTGAATCAGAATGAGCTTTATTCGCCAGGTGTGCGCAAACACACGAGGAATTTGTTGTGGTTGTTTAAGGTGCGTTCAGTGCTGCATATCCGTCGGTTTCTTCATTCAGATCTCACGGTAACAAACCGCTTAGGCTGTTTAATTAGCTTTCGGTTTCACTCGGTTCGGTGTCATAAACACCCGTACACACGATTCGGTCTCACTTCTGCTTTTATGGCTCTTTTAAGGGATTTTAGGCTGAAAGAATCACGCGCTGATGCGGGAAATTCCCGCAGGTCTGTGACGTCACGGCGAAACAATGTATCAATCCCGCACAGTGTTTCCGAGTCCGCGGTTTTCCCGGGAAATTGGGCTACTTTAACTCTGTGGCCGCGGGTGGTTTAAGCGACCACAATAACGTGATATTTAGCCTCTGGAATGCGAATTTTACCAGGGGAACCCCGCCAAAAACGTGTATTTTACGTGTATTTAGGCTGTTTTGAGTAGCAGTTGGGCGGGTTTCGTTGTGAAAACCTGGCAACCCTGATCCCGCAGCTGATTTCACAATATCCTCATTACAGCGTTAAACAAGCACGTTATCGTCATATTAACTGCGATTACAGTTGTGCTTTGTCAGTTTGGCTTAAAGCCGCAGCTGATTTCACAATATCCTCATTACAGCGTTAAACAAGCACGTTATCGGCATATTAACTGCGATTACAGTTGTGCTTTGTCAGTTTGGCTTAAATGTCATTGCTGCTCGGGAAACCGAAAGTTAAAATCAGCTGGGCTGCCATAGTATCAGATGGTAATATCTGAAAATATGCTATAGTACTATAGTATAACTCATGGCTATGTGGTGAAGTTCTACCGTGGTACATGTGCATTATGGTGTATTGCCAGTGTTGATGCTGTTTGATTTGTGTTTCCAGAATCTGGTGATCCTCATGAATATGTAATATATGCTAATGTGTTTCCAGGTGAATCTAGAGTCATCATGCAGAGTACTGCGAACTACCTGTGGATGATGTCTGACCTGCTGGGTCAGGGAGCCACAGCCAACGTTTACCGCGGTAGACACAAGGTATCCGTGAGTTACACTGTCTATACTTCATTTGCTTTGTGTTGTAAACCACAGCTACAGTGTCCCTACAGTCTGGCTCTCACACACATGATTCAGTGACAGTGAATCTTTCGAAAGATTCGTTTACATTTCACACAGTGATGTAGACCTTATAACGGGATTGAAAATCTCGCTGTGTCTGCAGAAAACCGGCGATCTCTATGCGGTCAAAGTGTTCAATAACCTGAGCTTCCTGCGTCCGCTGGACGTCCAGATGAGGGAGTTCGAGGTGCTGAAAAAACTCAACCACAAAAACATCGTGAAGCTCTTCGCCGTTGAGGAGGAGGTGAGACCCACGCAGTCTTAAAACCATCTTAGCAGCTCTTATGCCAAATGTAGCTTCCCCAAAAATGACGGTGTGCTCACTCTCAGCTCATCCGAGATGTAGGTGAGTTTGTTTCTTCATCAGATTTGGAGAAATGTAGCATTGCATCAGTGTCTCAGCAATGGATGCTCTGCAGTGAATGGGTGCCGTCAGAATGAGAGCTGATAAAAACATCACAATAATCCACAGCACTCCAGTCCATCAGTTAACATCTGGAGAAGACAAAAGCTGAAACAAATCCATCATCAAGATGTTTTTAACTAAAACACGAGTCCATAATCCATAATAACTCTTCCTCCAGTGAAAAAGTGTTCTGGTCTGAATCAGGAGAGAAATCTGTACAGATCAAGCACCGTTTAAACAGCTCTAAACAAATATGTGGCTGGATTTTAATGTGAGAGACAACGTTTTCACTGGAGGATGTGTTATTATGTATTATGGACTCAATGTATTTTTAGTTAAAAACGTCTTAATGGTGGATTTGTTTCAGCTTTTGTCTTCTCCAGATGTTAACTGATGGACTGGAGTGCTGTGGATTATTGTGT